AGAAGAGGCTCTATGATGAAACCTTTGCCTATCCAAATAAATGAGTGAAAAATTGTAATAAAATCAAGAATGTTATTCCTTTATTTTTTCCATCCTTGATGTTATCCAATTTTATATCATTTCGTAAGCACTATCGAAGATATTTAGTTTTTGTAATGGAATCCAAAAAAGGGATTACTCTCAGTCTTGGCTGTATGGCGCATTAGTGCCTTTGTCTTTTCTAATGGAAAAGACCACAGACATTATCTATCTATATGTGGAAAAAACAGTACCACAACAACAGTACCAAAAAATATTGTTGAATGTTGATGTTGATTTGATCCAAGGACGGAAAAAACATTTGATCGTTTGATATCGGTCGTTTTGCGACGCAAGTGTTTCGTCGATTTAGTTAATTTCTTGTAATCTTATCTCATATAAAATTGAGAGTGCTTCTGGACTGTTTAGAACAAAATGGTGTTCAAACTTTTACGCACAGACACTGAGGAGCCACAAAAAATACAACTTCCTCTTGGAACTCATTTGATCGGACGAGGAAAACTTTTGGATGTAAGGTTTTATTTAGAATACATTTTTATTACTTTACAAGCTTGCATTACAATATACGTGGATGTCGTGGTTCTACTTTGGTGGTTCATTAATCTAGTTTTTCAAGGTCTCAACTCGAAGCCGCTGTACGGTTCATAGAACAACAGCATTTCCGTGAATCTCCATTGCTAAACAAGTCTCTGCACGCTGGAATTGTGTAATTGCATGTGACCTTGTACACATTTACTATACAAATTGTCGCGTATTGTCAGGTGAGAATGTGACGGTTCATAAATTGGTAGGCCATACACATATTTCTACTGGCCTGGGAAACAAATCCAGGACGTCTGCATGGCAGTTCGGCAAGGTAACCATTCGGCCATGGAGGCAGTAAAAAAATGAACTCTCATCTAACATACATTGCGTTAGTATAGCCCAACTTAAAGATAGCGCTACGTTAATGTTGCTACATTGAAACTTTATAACACCTAATTCTATAATCAAGAATTTTTTTTTTTATTTGTCACATCAACTAATTACTTAATAATAAGTAAAATACTGCCCAGTAAATTTGTTTCAAATAAACTATCCAAACAATCATTTGTCCATTAAAGAGCACCACACTAGTAGCCACCATCTGCATTAAGTGTATATACTCCATAAGGGCTTATTGATAGATTATTATAGATAGGTGTGGTATTGATTTTCTGTTATGCCAGAAGGCTTTTTGCTTTGCGTAAACTATCATGGTTGCACTTTGCTTCCCTTGTATGGCTAGTAAGTATAAGTTACTATGTTGCACAACTCTCTTGTTATAATATACATACGTTACTTACTCTGGGATTTTTTTTGATTTTCAGTGTGAAGATAAAAGAGTTTCTAGGAATCATGGAGAGTTGAACATTGTTGATGACTCTATAACCATAAAGGCGGTAAGATTATGTACATGATATTGTTAGTATAGAGTAATTAACAATATTTATGCCATCTACATTTCAATTTGCATTTATATATTAAAACATTGTTCCTTTAACTTTTAAAAATATACCTTCTAATTGTGTAATAAAAAATATTTTTGTGTCTTACCTCCATATAACAAATAAGTCAAATAAGTATACACTATTTTGTTGTAACTTTTAAAAATTTACAGCTGCACCAAAACCCATGTTTCTATGTAAAAAAAGGAACTGACCAGACCCAAGTATTAAAAATAAATTGTACAGCAAGTCTTTGTAATGGGGATAAATTTGGTCTCCTACCTGATTCATACTGGTATGAAGTGCTGCATTGCACATCTATTGATTTAAATCAGTCCCCTGAACTAAGTAGTACTGTGCCTGATGATGAAATTGAAGATCAGGCATCTAGAGACAGTGTAAGAACTATAAATGGTCCTGGTTGTGATACACAAGTAAATGATACAAATGGGGCACTTGACAACGAAGATAGACCTGAATCCCCTTCTTTGATTAGAAACGGATCTCCAAATCCAGAAAATGTGAATATGCTTGAATTGCCTTCGCCGGCTCAAAAACCTGAATCCTCATCATTGATGGAAAGAACAGGGTCTCCTTCATTACTTAGTAAGTTTTACTTGACAGTAATCTTTCTTTCATTTATATTTCAGAATTCAGTTGCTCACCAGCTTTGTGTATGTTTCAGTTTGATGTAAAAGTTACACATGTTTATAATTTCCACAGCATCAACAACAGATGATCCTGAAACAACAGAAAATCAGGACAATCCTATTAAAGAACCAAAATCTCCATGTAAGAGGTGTCAAACTCCAGACTCTTCAGATGCTAAAAGAGTGAAGACAGAGCCAGTGGAAGATCAACAAATGGCAAATAATGACCCTGTAACAGTGAAACAGGAACCTGACATTGTTCCAGGACCTAGTAATGATCAGGTGGTGGTGAGTTCCAAACATTGTTTTTATGTTACCTACTTGAGAAGTTCTTAAAGCTTTTGATAATGTTGTTATTAATAAGTATGAGAAAAATAATGTACAAAAATTGGCAATAGTTGTATACAATTTTATTTTGTCTGTTATAAAAGTATTCATTTTAAATTTTAGTTCAAACAATTATTAAGCTCACCACATATCCATTACTTCAATGGTGTTCCCCAGGGTAACGTTTTAGGGCCATTAGGGGTCTTAGTGTTAAATTTTAAATAAAAAGCTACTATTAGTAATGTTTGTGCTTTTCTAAAACTTTCTATAGGATGCATCGAAAGCAGATGACGGGAATAATACTCAACCTTCGCCTGCAAAGCCTCCAAGTGGAATGGGAAGAGAAAGATGCATGTATGGTGCTAACTGCTACAGGTACAATAAAAATTTTTCACAATTATGTATCCTACCTACATTAAGCCTTGTGTTTTTAATTACACTATACAGGAGAATCGACTTTTAAGGATTTTCCGATGTTCATGTCTCCCTCTAGAATGGAAAAAACAATCGGAATTCATAAGACATATTAATCATTGTCATTCGTTGTTAAGAACGTCAAGACCGATGTACTAATTAGCCCTATATTTGAATCGTTTCAGGAGGAATCCTCAACACAAGACTCAATTTGCACATCCGTCGGATGCAGACTGGGGTGTGGGCGAGCGTGGCGTGTGTCCCTGGGGTTTGGGGTGTCGTCGCCGCAACCCGCGCCACTGGGCTAACCACGATCACCCGCCGGGTGCTCAAAGACCTGGGTCTCCTCCGCCAGGTAGGTGTTAGTTTACTACTTATTTCAATCCAGGAAACTACCGGTACAGCCGCTCTCAATGGAAGAGCAAGAACACATTACATTTGTGGTGTTCATAAGAAAACTTTTGATTAGAAGTGAACAGAGTAATCACCCGCTGTCGCACTTTCATTGTGGGCAGGGCCTTAAGGCGTCTATGAATTTGTGTGTTCAATTTATGTACTGCCCTTGAAATTATCGAATAAATGATATGACTATAGTAATAAGTTAAGAATTTAAAAACTTAGGAAGTTTCTCAAGGAACATCAGTGCTCAAATACACGTTTACATCTAATTGTTAATGGTAAAATTAATATATTTTAACGTAACATTTCAGGTATGCGAGTGGTCCAAAGACACGGCAATGTATTCTACATCAATGCGCGTACAGTAAATTTCTACGATGATCACTTTCAAGTTGAGGATTCTGATGGAGACAGTGTAGACTTTGACTATGAATTCTAAATGTGTTACAGATAATTGAACAATGCCGTTTTGTAAAATTTCGAGAGTTACCAAATCGTTGTTTCTAATTTATTTAAAAAAATTGCAAGAGAAAGATTGACAGAATGAGGAGTTAATGCTTTTAAGAATCAAGATTTTATAGCTTCAACTAGCAATAAAAAATGTTAAGAATTAAATTATATTTTATAGCTAAGGGTGTTCGAAAGCCTCGGCAGAAAAGAAAGAAGCAAAGCGAATCTGATAGTGATGAGGACATTTCATCGTCAGATCTTATTGTAACTGGTAAGAGGACACGAAAACCTGTGGTACGTGATGTCTGGAACGACACAGAATCAGATCAGGAGGACGATCCATACGGAACGGATGAATCTGATGACTGGGTGCCGACTACGGATGATGCCGAAAGCCAGTATACGCAGACGCAAAATATGTTGGACGATTAAGTTTTAAATGTTGTTAATAAATAAAGTAGAAAATAATGAATATTATTGTTTTTTTTCTGTATGACTGTCGAGTCAGTCATAACTTTCAAGAACTGAAAATTGCAGTGTATAATTAAATTACAAACTGGTAAAGTGAGGATTTGCAGCCAAAACGTCGATTACGTTTTGGTAAAAATAACGAAATTGTATTTTCTCGTCTCCATTTTCGTCGATTTTAGGGCTACATGATAAATCTAGGTGTCAGTAAAGTTTTAAAGACGTGAAGAACCCGTTTTGAGTGGTAATATAAATACGAAAGAGGAGCTAAAGAAGTAATCAGTTTATTCCATAAAAACCCTCGTCATCGGAGTGGTTCGTTTGCTCCCAGTCGTGCGGCTGTGGCGGCGGTAGCAGTAACGTCGCGGGCGCCTCCCCGCCGCGCACGCGCAGCGCGTACACTGCGGATTCCACTTTAAGCACGTTTGAGCGCGTTGTGCCCATCTTTCGAGCTAGTTCTTTGCATATGCCAAATAGACCTGAAAAATAAGTTGGTTCACGGTGAGTGAATGTGAATGTGTAAATAAATTTACATAAATTATGTGTTGTAACTGTCAAGTTGTTAGAATAATTATGTAACAGAACAAAGAGTGAAGAAAGGACATGATGTTTAAACACTGTAGAATAGTCTTTGCACTACTGGCATTGACTTACAATGACTACTGGTAACTTAAAATAACAAAACTGTTGTTTACTCTATAGGATATGGAAAAAAAATAATAATGGACGTTCATATACGTTTTTCTGCTCTCCCTTTTATAATTATATTATTATCCCAGGGCAGGGCAAAGGTCTGTCTTTCCTTCTGTCCTGCATAACATCTGTTAGTTTTTACACAAAAGGATTGTTATCAATTGATGTTTCCTAATTACCAATAAATATTAGACGTTGATGCTAGTAAAGAAGTTATACACATCTGCCATCGACTAATTAAAACGCAGGTAGTGACAAATGGTCAAATATCCGTTGTAAATAAGAAGAGAAATTACAAAGTTCTCTTTTAAAAACAGAAAATTAGTTAACGTGTTCGACTTATCAGAACTTACTTGGTTTTTTAGAATATCTCAAAAAATATTTTATCACTTAGCTGCGTTTTTAGTTAGCGGACGGCAAACATAAGTAAATAATTTTTTATTTATCATACTAAAGGTACTGAAATTGTTTGCTGATAAAAAAATTCGGACCATCCCGAGTCAGCGAGCTATTTTCATTATCTTTTATGTATCACATAAGTGACTATTAAATTATTTATTAATTCTACTATTCTCCATTTTTGTGTAAAGAGAAAAATTAACTACAAATTTCCAGGTCATGGACGTGACTCCTCTGTACCGCCTAAGCAACTGTTGCTCTTTGATGAGCACATGAAATTGATACCGCATATCTAGCTAGAAGAGGTACAAGAGATAAGAATAATCATACATGTGTTCAATTGGTGACAACACAGTGGATTACTGTCAATAATTATCGAGAACTAGTCCACATGATGGGGTATAATAAGGTTAAGCCTTAAATCGTAATACTTGCCTAAGAAACCAGTGTACAAATCCCTGACAACTTGGCCAGAAAAAACACATTCTTCACTGTCCCCACTGGAAATACTATTTATCGCCCGTCGCATTAATTCACCAGTCAAGTCTGAGATTCCTAACATGTACTCATTCTGTGGAAGCAAAGTTGTCACAGTACGATGTTTAGGATCATCTTGACCTTCTACTGGGGTCATTATAATATACTGCAGTTCCTCCTGAACTTCTCTGTATGAGATTATCTGTTTTGTTTCCATCAAGGAGCATAGAGTCCATGCTTCAACATATTCTTGAAAACCGGCAGTGACTGCTCGTAAGTGGAGATATGCTGGACACTTTTCCAGCTCTAGCCCAATGTGCTTAAGTGGACCCTTGACAAGTTTATTTAAACGTTCTTTTGCTTCCTGTACGGTTTTCTCTATAGATTCTTTTCTGAAAATATAAGATAAAATAACAAGGTATAATATCAATAAATTCATTGTTTTAATATTAAAACTCTATACTAATTCAACACATACTTCATAATCATTTAACTATGTATTTAGGATACGAAAAACACATTGATGCTTTTCAAGAACAGTGCCCCAATACAAAATAATTCCTTTTTGACTTTTACTGAAATTTTATTCAAATAATCTTCAACTTTATTGTGAATGGGATTCTTGAGCTTTTCATTCATTAATCATATATCGGTAGGGCTAGCATGATAAGGCTCGACTTGCGAATAGCAGTATCCAGCGCTTATAGTCGCTCTCGCGCTAGTTGCGCCTCATCGTGCTAGCCCTATAGGATGGGATGGGTTACGATTTGTTAGTTTTGAGCAGCAGACATGTCTTAGATTTTTCAAAACCCTCTTCCTCATGAATTAGATCTTTTTAGGCCGTTATTCTAGAAAGCCATCAACATGTCTTGTTAACAAGGTGGTACAAGTTCCTAAGAATCTGTTAACTCAGCAAATAAATAAATAAATAAAATGGAAATAATGAAAATAAATAATGTACTGACGTAATGGCAGAATGCAGTAAGAAGATGATTCTCTTGCTCTCAATTGTGATGTCCCTGGACAGTTTCACGAGTCTCTCATGACGATCCTGGCGATCGTTTAACTGGATTGCCGCTTGCTTGAACATGGCCAGCACCGGGCTGTCCGGCGCTAGAGACAATGCCTGGTCGCGAGCCACGGAAGCGAGCGAAACATTGGGATGATGGCGACGACCGCCACGGTGTTTTGCTGTTTTGAAGAATAAGTATGATTGAACAGGTAAGTCGAGCAATACGACAAAGGCTAAGAGTAACGATCTAACGATGATTACCTCGATTAGACATTTTTAATGTTACTTCACTGCTTCAATTGCTTTTTTAAAGATTTTATTTATTTTATCTCGTCTCCAGATACCTTAGCTGCACAACAAAAGTAGTATTTGAACTTTTTTTTATTTACTTCTCTAAAATAATACCTCTCCCACTAAAAAATTAAAAACTTTAGGATACGAAATATGAAGTTTTTCATGGCTTTTCGCCGTTAGTATTTCAGCCACTTACAAGGTTTATTGACTTGTTTTTAGAATGGGAAATTATAACATCATATTATTGAAATTTGAAGACGATGGATCTAAATTCCACAGACGTATAAAAATATACAATTTTTTTATATAATAAGATTCACTCGTTCGGATAGTGGGGGTTGTTCCTGATGGATTTCTTTTTTGTTTTCATTACTGTCAAGTCAATGTCATTTCATTTCTCGCCTTCGTGGGAGAAATCGTTCCCTGATTTTATTAATTTTTGTGTTTCATTCCGAATTTCACCTCTGATATCGGTGTCAATTTAATGTGTTGATTACTCCACATAAACCTGTAATATTATAGGAATTCGCGTTGACTGACCAGAGTCCGCGAATTCTGCTTATCAACACCTTATCGTACCGGGTGTGTCCTCACTCTTGTTTTTTACTGATTTCTACGGAAATTTAAAGTGAAATATTCGTAAAATCGTCTAATGGTTATTTAATGGATTTCATTATGTGTTTCAGATAGCTGCAATGTCTCAAACTATTTCGTTCGGTGACTCATGCGCTCCTATAACTTGTCATGCTTGGAACAAGGATAGGACTCGTAAGTATCTATCTACAGCTTATTACGTGTTCGATAGATTAAATATTAATATATGTTAGAAAAAGGTGGATTTAGCCTTAAGTTTTGCGATCAATAAATTGACTGAAATTTAGTATATTTCAGTGTAATAACTTGGTTTTCTTCTTGTCAGAAATCGCATTATCACCCAACAATAATGAAGTGCATATCTACCAAAAGGATGGCAATGATTGGAAGCAGACTGATAATCTGGTTGATCATGACTTAAGGGTTATGGGCATTGACTGGGCTCCAAATACCAACCGTATTGTAACATGTTCAGTTGACAGAAATGCCTATGTGTGGACACAGGGAGATGATGGAAAGTGGACAACAACTCTGGTGCTGCTACGTATCAATCGAGCTGCTACTTGCGTGAAATGGTCTCCTATGGAGAACAAGTTTGCAGTTGGTTCTGGTGCAAGATTGATCTCAATCTGCTATTTTGAGAAGGAAAACAACTGGTGGGTCTCCAAGCATATTAAAAAGCTCATTCGTTCTACTGTTACTGCCCTTGACTGGCACCCAAACAACATGCTTTTAGTGGCTGGTTCAGCAGATTTCAAGGTTAGAGTTTTCTCAGCCTATATTAAAGATATTGAAGAGCAACCTGGCCCTAATGTATGGGGTACTAAACTCCCCTTAGGTCAACTCTTGGCCGAGTTCCCCAACTCCACCTCTGGAGGTGGTTGGGTTCACAGCGTCTCCTTCTCAGCAGATGGAAACAAGGTGGCTTGGGTAGGACATGACAGCTCCATCAATATAGCTGATGCTACTCAAGGAAAAACTGTCATAAAACTAAAGACTGAATACCTGCCATTCCTAGGGTGTTGTTGGATCACAAACAGCGCACTTGTTGTGGCAGGCCATAGCTGCATTCCACTACTGTACTGTCATGATGGACAGGACATCAAGTTTGTTGCTAAACTTGACAATACCCAAAGAAAAGAGTCTGGTGGATTGTCTGCCATGAAAAAGTTCCAGTCTCTCGATAGACAGGCTCGCATTGAGACCAATGACACTTTTTTGGATTCTATTCACCAAAATGCAATAACTTGTATTAATCTCTATAAAGGGACCAAAGCTAATGGCGAAAAGTTCAGCACTTCGGGACTAGATGGTCAGCTTGTCATTTGGGATGTGGACACCCTTGAGAAAATGTTTGAAGGTCTCAGAGTCTAAAGAAATACCTCCGAATTTATTTGTATAATTTTATTTATAAGGATAAATAATCAGTTTACGTGCGAGTTCTGAAGTCACTCTAGAAAACAAACATATTGATAGCTGTGTAAAAGATAATGCTGCAATCACAGTCTGGTCAGTCTAGCTAGAATTAATGAAAGCAAATGGCGGTGAGTGATTTCAGGTCCCAAACAGTAAAAACTTTTGAATATACAGAATAAACTATAATTTATAGACATAACTATGATTTTATTATACAATCAATAAATTTTAACACTGCTGATAATCAAATAATTTATATAAATTAAGACATAAGACCTACTAAACACTATAATAGATCACTTTTAATATTACTGAAGTACTGATTGCTGTCAAGTATTACATTAAAATTTAATGAATCAACGAAATGTATTCTTTTATTATTAACGTTAACATCAAAGTCATACTTTAACCTACAAAACTATAAGGCCATCTTTATTTGCAAAGAGCAAAGCTATTGCGTGTTGGAGACGATGTTGAACACCGGGCCGATGCGGATGAAGACGCGCCGTAAAACGGAGCGTAGCTCGGGTTTCAAGTCAAAACAGGTGATCTCGCACAGCAGCGGATAGTAGCTCGATACGTGTGCCGCAAACTAGAATGCAATAGTACAATAGTATATTATCTGACTCATGCCAGGAAAATTCTTATTCTAGACGCGTCATATTCAATCATCAGTGAATTTGTAATTTACCTCTATAATTATTGAAGTAAAAGAAATGCGAGACCTTTTTACCCGTTCCAGTGGTTGGACAGTGAGGGCTATCAAGAAATTATAATATTTAGTATTTTTATATTATAATGAAACAGTTCAGCTACCGAACCTGTAGCTCCTATTTAATTAATTCCTAAGTAACAATAATAACAAATTCTAATACTCACTCTTTCATCGGGCATTTTTAGTATTCTTGTAAGAATCAGCAGCAAGATTGAAGTCCAAGCGTCCCGGTGGGCTTCGCTGGTTACCCCAGCGAAGTATTCGAGCGCCTCGCAACATATCGTAATTAGGCTCTTCTGCACGGCGGGCCAGTGCTCGCGCCGCGCTTCGTCGCTGTACATTTTGAATAATATCCGCATCACACATGCTAGCGACTGTGTTTCTTGCTTCAGCATGTTGGGTTTTACGGAACCCTTAAAATTAGCCTTCCAAAGAACGTTCCTTTGCGCATTGTTAGTGTTAAATGTTTTAGCGAAGCGGTGACTGCACATTAAACATTCTACGAGTCGTAGCAGGTGCGGAGAACTCAATAGCCTGTACATGCCTTGTTCTTCACGTTGACATTCCTGCTCAGTACCCGGTATGCCACCAGACAATTCCGCGGCAGCTAATGCTAACGTTTCGGCGTCTTCTTTCCTCGATGTGGCGGGATAAAAGACGATATTGTCAATAGTTTGAATTAGTTCAAGTTGCACGACGCATTTAATTAGGAGACTGTTGAATATCCGATTTGATGACTTCGCGTCATCACCGATTTGAGGTTTCTTCAATATGCCGTGTCGCACATTCGGAGTCTCCTCTTCGTTTTCATCAGGTTTCCAAGTCAGCAAAGTTGTGGGCAGGGTGCTATTGAATATGTCTAACATGATTTGGCATGTATTGCTCCATGTGTCCTCATTGAATTTGGTTCCATTTGAAATGACTAGATTTTCCAAACAGTTGGTACCAGACCGAGCAAGCTGTTCATTGTCTTGTTGCACGCACCAGTGCAGCTGTGCGTATAGCTGCTCCAGTAGCAGAGAGCCAAGAATGTCAAAGTACTGCGTGAAGACGTCTACGATAGCATACAACGCGTGATTGCATGTTGTAGTCATCCATTCATTTTTCTCTAATTGATGTTCAGGTAATTTCATATTGTCAAAGATTCTGAATAAAATATTGAATAAGTCTCTCCACCAATGCGGACGGAACGATTCACCGTGAGTTTTTATAATCTCGAATAAAACTGTTAGACCACGTGTGCGGACGTCTAACTTACAGCGGCTTACGACGCAGGAAAGTGAGAATAGTAGTGGGAACCATCCTCGTAGCCATACTCTGTCCTCTTCAGGAGCTCCAGCTTCGCTCTCCAGGCCCGCATGTTCCACAAATAATTGTGGTGACGCACCCACAGCTGTCGCGCAAGACCTAACCAGTCTTATAGCTTCCATAGACGTATCTGGGAACTTTGCGTTGCATGCAAATTCAGATAAGCATTTGACTGCGTCTTGGAATGAATCAATCATTGTAGGGAATTGCTTCTCATAGAGATCTGTAATAATTTTACCTGTAGTCTGGAATGCTAAGTCAACGATAGCCTCGTCCTGATCGCCTGCAGCTAAATGGAATACCGAAAATATATTTTTCCATCCAGATCTTATATTTGGAGCCTGTGAATTTACCATTTGAGCAATACATCGGACCACCATGTCTCTTATTGTCGGGGAACTGTTTTTCTTCATAATGTGCTCGAATGGTCTCAAGAAGTCTTTTTGGAACTTAAAGTTTGCAAACTCTCCCTTCTCTATAAATTTCATAGACAGTTGTCGCAGGGAATCTACAGCAAAGAACGCAATATCTTCATTGCTACTGCAACCGACTTTGTTGAAGTGGTCGCCAAGAACTTGCCATATACGCGACCACTGTAGCCTGATTCTTCCCATGTTATAATAAGATATTTCCACAATTTTCTGTAGAGAAAACATTCGTGGATTTGTGGGATGGCTTAATTCGTCAAGTGACACTTGACATAAAGCTTTTACAAAGTCAACAATGGCGTCACCGTCGAGTCGCGTTGAGCCCGTAAATATTCTGTCCACGGCTACTACGACACTTTGAGAACTTGTTTCTCCGAAATGTTCTTTCACACTGGGATCTAGAGACATGAGGCTGATCTTCAGAGAATCGGGCTGAGGCTTGATACCAGATCCTGACAAGAATTGAGGTCGCACACCTGTTCCTATCAGCTGAGCTAGTTCCAACTGGGAAATACATTTCACCACATCTAGCCAACTTGATCCTAAGTAATTTCCATCGGTGTGCGCAACAGTAATCAAAGTTTTTATAGTATCGATATTCTTTGCTTTCATCTCCGTGATAGGGGAGTTCGCAGTTAAAAGCGTGAATCGGGCCAAAGCTTGAACATAGGCATCGCGTTCAAGAGACATATGGAAAATACAAGCAATTCGGATCGCACATCGTATGCCATCCAGGCAGAGCGCAGCTATTTCTGGATCATCACAATCTTGTAATCCTACAGAAAAAGCCGCGAGGAATGGTGTCCACGCCATTTTGAACATTGGGCGTACATGTTCCACGTGTTTTGCCGTTGTAAACGGTGTTTGGACGTGAGATACGGATTCCATTAAATTCTTAGCAGCAGTAGATATTTGTTCCATTTCCATATTCCAAATAAATTTTCGCTTCTTCTCATTAGCTATCATATGTTTTCCAGGCTTAGATGTATTCTTCATTTTGATTTCATGTCCAGCAATTTCGTCATATATTTGAGACAAATACTCACGTGGCAGGTCATTATTGTCACTGATACCACTATTAAGTTTAATGTACTGCTCTTTCGTCATTTTATTTTTAACTTGTGGCGAATGCAAGTCGGTCGTTAGCATAATAATGGAGAAAGCCAGTACATAAACAGTGTCGGCGCTCATAAATAGCGTGTTATTAGGATTACATTCACAGTATCGTGCGGCGAACTTCTCCATCAATCGGTCAATTTTCTGCGCTTCACCAGGTAACCTGAATCCTTCAAGAAAATGACGGAGTGCCGCGACAATATCCATGTTTGAAAAATTCATTGAATCGACATACGCATACATCACCTCTTTGGAATGGTCATCGTTTTCGCCCAAATATTCACCAATAAATGTCTTGTCCAACCTTTCGTCCGTCAATAACCACTCCGCGATTTCTTTCGTGGATGAACCTAGTAAGCTTTGTTCTTGCAAAAACGCTACTCCTTTCTTGGGTTTTCTATTAAATAAGTCAATACCAGTTTCCCATACTTCTTTCTGTTGTTTCAATACTTCGAACTGTTCTGGAGAGTCTAATGTTTCTCTGTTGCCTATATTACTTGATCCAGTTGAAACCAAACTAAGACTTGAGCCACCATGAGACTTAATACTGTGATGATCTGTATCCTCTTTAGGAGTTCTCTCACCCAAAGTTGTTTGAAGATTGGGATTAATGTACAGTTCCTTGCTCCATTCTACCATGCATTTTAAGATTGACACAAGGCAGTCGAGTCCACGAATGCGCATTGATTTCTCCTGATTTGGTGTAGCGCCAAGTTCCAAGGCTTGTCTTCCTTGCGCGATTTTTGAGACATCATTTACTAATCTCTGAAATAGATTTGCGGCTGACAAGTCACAGTCGTAATTGACATATATGTCAACGACACTCTGTGCATCACCACATATTCTCGTAAGAGCTTGAATAACCATCCATTTATGTTCAAAAGAGGAACTGGACGTCTCCAAAATGTTCATAAATATCTCTTTGAAGAATACTTCAATTTGCTTCTTTAGGTGCACTTTGAAATTTTGTAGGAGTGCCAGGAAAATGGCAAGGGACAGTTCAAAAACCTCAGGTACAGAGCTTACACCATTTTTGGACAAAGCAACACAAAGGTACTGCTTAATTGCAGTTATGAACATTTCATTATTCCTGAAGACGGGACCAGCATTCTGCAGAATTGAAAGGAGTAGATGCAAAGACAAGATTTTGGATCTCAGTTCATGAGACTTAGGATCAGGGGTACCCTCAGGCAGAGGTTTCATGGACAGTTTGCAAAGAGCTCTGAAGACTAAAAACGCATCTTTTTGAAGGACATGCGTGAACTTGGCTGTCACTGAATTATCATTTTCTGAAGCAACGTCAACACTTTCTTGAGAGGGAATACGTGTGATTGTGCTTTCATGGCCAGATTGACCATTACTTTCCTGAGAAACACTACCACTATCTTGAGAGTCTGAGGGATTCTCATTATTTTCTGGTCTGTTTTGGTTTGTATCCTCTGTTTTCTTTACCGCTATCGCGATGGCATTGTCTATGACAGAATCAACTATTTGTTTTGCGATAATTTTTGCTTCCAAAATTTGTTCTTCTGAAGGGGGTAAAGAATCCTTGTTTTCTTCTGTTGCTGGAGCTGGATGTTCATTTGTATGAATGTTGTTGTCTTCCATGGCGACATTACCGTTGGGAATTTTATGAATATCTGGTGTGTGGATGCCATTTCCTTCAGTCTCGAGTGCTTGGTTTTCCATTTTAGTAAATATTACGTTTAGCATTTGCGTTAGTGTAGCCCGTGCAGTGGTTTGGTTGATAAGGTTTTTGCTGGCTAGGTAGATGTTGTAACATGTTCTAACAGCAAGTAATACTGTTCCTTCATGAACTTCGACATGTTGACTTGTGATTACTGTAAGGAGGGCTTTTATAATTTGTAGTTGTACTCCCTCATCAGTCTGGGGTCCCGTGAAGCAACTACAGATTGTTTCAACTATTCTGTCTATGAGAAGTTTCCTTGGAGTTGTGGAGTCTGGAATATTTCCAGTAAGATGACCATAAGCAATGAGTTTTTGTAGACAATCAAGTGCTGTGACTACTATCCTGGACGCCTTGCTCTGGCAAGCCAGCTCGAAGGGTAGGAAGTATTTTTCTGCAGTGATGATATTGGATGAATCATTCTTTGGGAGTGGAAGAGTGCCTGATGAGGGACTCTCTGTTGACTCCAACTGGCCTCCAGTTTTCAGCTCGGCCTTTATTTCCTCTGAAACAACCAATTAATCAGACAATCATACACTGAATCAGAGACCACTAATACTTCCAACTAGCCAGTAAAATTACTAAACAAGATTTATTGGACATAAGTATCAAGATTATTTTTAACTGCATCTAATATTACCATAATTATGACAGACAATGACACATTTATGAGTGTAAAATTGTAAAATACATGCCTTAATACAGAATTTATTTATAAAATAAATGCATACTTTTATTAACTAAACGGGTCATTGTTAAATAAGTAAATAATAAGTGAATCTAATAACGAGCAGCACGAACTGTCAACTTAGAGGAGCCTGTGCCCAGCAGTGGGACATGTTATAGGTTGACAATAATAAAATCCCTAATGATTTTAGTACTAATGCAGTTTTCATTCAGCAATGTAATAAAAACTAAATTTATAAAAAATTATCATAATCGTTAGGGACACACAGTATCCCTACAATTTGGTCCTAAAGCCTGCACTGTGAAGGATTGGTGAAACAAATGTATAGTCAAAATAAAATGAGTATGTCATCTTGTCGGTGTGAAACCATACATTTACAACTGGGATTGACAGTCTAATGACTACATGACACTCGAAGGTCATGTTTAACAATGGTTTTATGTAGATCACCAAACTTGTTATTTAAACAGGTTGCAAAATTTCTTTCATGTAGATATAATTTAAAAAACTACAAAGACTTCTAATTGTGCTTATACTATTATTCACTGACACATTATATAAAAAAACACATAACAAACATGTACTAAGTAACTGGAAGAATATGTATAAAACAATTATTCTATTTTTAAAATCTCTAAAGAATTCTGCCAATGTCTAGTCAGTAATGGGAGTTTTTTATACTTTTTTATTTATTAACTTTGATTTGGGTACATTATTGATGTGCAAAAGTTCTCACTGACACTTCAAGTGACACTACCTATATTACAAATGTATCTATATACAACAGTATTTTATCAATGCAATAAAAACCTAACTATTGTATTTCGTTGGTCGGTACGAAACTTACAACTCGAGAATAATGATAAGGTAAAATTCTACTTTCATTTACAAGGTCACTGGTTCTTTACTCTTTTAATAGCGTTTAATTATAACTACACAATTTTATGACGGTAAAATAAGTTTCCCTTGAATTGTAAGGACCTCCGAAATGCGTACATACGCCGTCAAATTATGTTAAAAATGTCGTAGAATCCTTACCAAGTGCGACCTCACAGGATTTCTTCAACTGGCTGTGATAGGACCTCTTTATGTCCTTATCAGCTAGTATCTTTTCCAAAGCTCTGACTATAAACATCTCTTTAGTTTTCAGGTTGGTTTGCATCGTTATTTCACAAGGATATCACTCCATCAGTTCCTTTTGGAATCGACTTAAATGCGCGGCGGTTTCCAACAAGATAATGATGATTCCATTTGGACACTGTTATATTGGGTTCATATAAATATTTATGAGTATAACAGCACGAATGTTACATCACAAAACTATATGCAATTGAAGATTTTCGTGAAATCATTTTCTGCGAGACAGGGATTTCTCGATTCACACCTCATCACAAACATGTCAATGCAAAGTCGCGTTCATTGTACCTAAAGATTGTTAGAAAATCCGCGTAATTTCAAAGTTAACTCACATATCCACCACTGGAATGATAGATGAATTGAACTGGATGAATTTTTTTATCTTGAGTGACTCGCAAAGTTGAAAATTATAATTTGTTACAACAACAAAATTGAAATGAAGTTACCAAGTAGAAAAGTAGAGTCGACAAGTAACGCATAATTAAATTAAAATGAACGAATCAATAAATATGTTCCTTTAAACGTATGCAGTAGTGACGTCATTTTAGTGTATTACTGTATAGATAAATTACTGCATGTAATGGAACTAAAATGTCAGAAGAACCATAGACAAAACAATCTTGATTGAATTATGAATGAAGCTTGCTTGGTCAATTATTGACATGGTAGCTCGCGATTTTATTTATTATTTTACTTGGATGACGAATTCGTTGATAATACGAGCTTTTTTCTCTTTTTAATTTAATTATTAATAGCCAACAAAATTGCTTCCACAATGACGGTGACGCGGGTTGCGGAGTCCCGCACAGAGTTCAAATTGAAGAGTCTTCCTGAGGACGCTATATCAAGTGTAAAATTCGCACCGAAATCTAATCAATTTCTGCTTGTATCGTCGTGGGATTGTTCTGTGAGACTTTACGATGTAACGGCGAATACAGAAAGACACAAATACACTCACGAATTGCCTGTTCTCGATGTTTGTTTTAGGGTAAGAAAAGCAGCGATATTCCGAAAAATAACCTCTAAATTGTAGCTTATAAGGCGATTACCTATGCATTAGCAATTAGTTATATACTTTTGCCTAACTTTTTCTCAACTGTTACAATGCTTAACGTTTAAAATAGGAATATGATAAAAAAAAATGAAAATTTCCTTTTTGTTCCATTGTGAAATAACTATATTTTCTTATTAACTTCATGAAGTCTTTATTGTTATCTTACAGGATGCAGTCCACTCTTACAGTGGTGGTCTTGACCAGACCCTGAAGATGTATGACTTGAATGCAGGTACGGAGACAGTCCTCGGAGAACATAAAGGCGAGATCCGCTGTGTTGAGTTCACCAATGAAGTGAATGCAGTCCTGACTGGAAGCTGGGATGGAACTGTTAAAATGTGGGACAGCCGGGTGCCAAATTGTGTCGGTACTTATAACCAGGGCAATGAGAGGGTTAGTCCAAATTTACATTATACTTTGATTTTATTATTACTTAGGGTGACGATATTCAGGATCTGAGAATTATCCTTTGTCACTGCAACCTGTAATTGACCTATTGTGATCACTACTTCATTGTCAACTTTGGTGTATGCTTTGCACTGTGGATGTTCATTCGTTTTCAAGTGTAAATTTATTTTACCTATGGAATTATAAATCTTTGCCTTTGACTTTGATGGAACTGAAGTTGTCTACATTGGTTACGGTTGGATTGTTCTGCATAGTGCTCTTGTACTCATAGTACAGAATTTCGTTGCTCTTGTACTCATAGTACAGGGAAATTTCTAACTTGAGACGAGGCCCTGTACTCGCATTCTCCGTCGAACATCCAACCGAAACAGTTTCTGTTAAATAAGTAATACTCAATAAAATTAAAAGAGGCATGATGAGAATTTTTATTCTTTAATAATAATAATGCACACACTCAACATAGCCCCGCACTAGGTAAGCCCTGTGTCGCGGGTGCCATGGACACACACAGAGACAACCACAAATTACACCCAAACTCACAAGAGAAATAAATATAGGCCGTATAAATATTTCTCCCGGCCCGGGAATCGAACCTAGGACATCTGCGTGGCAGTCTGGCATGGTAACCGTTCGGCCATGGAGGCAGTTTGTAGCTTTATACTGCGATTTCTGACATTTCAAGTACTTTTATTATGTTAGTTGGTACCATAGAGACTAGTGATCCTTACCTGAGACCGGATCGAATGGCATAAAAAAGTTTTGTAAAAATTACCTTTCTGACTGTACCTTTTTGTCAAAATCTGTGAATGCCAATCGAAATATCTGCAAAATGAATGGATAGTCTTCTAGAACTGTTTTCCTGTAATTACAACGATTAAGGTAGCTGGCCTTCTGCCCCGTCTCAAATTTACACCCTGTATATAATATATGAAATATTGTAGGGAATGATAGGAATAAACTTTATTGGTCAATAATACTAAATAAGCCTATATAAATAGAAAATAATTGCTTTTTCTTACTTTTAAACCCGCCAATTTGATTGCAAGGTTTTAATCTCAGCTTAATTAATTAAACTTAAATGTATTATTAAGCTGACATTAAAAACACACTGTTTCTCTGTTTTCAGGTATACACAATGAGCATAGTTGGAGAAAAGTTTGTAGTGGGCACATCTGGCCGCAAGATCTTTGTATGGGATGTTCGCAACATGGGTCACGTGAACCAGCGTCGGGAATCTTCACTCAAATACCAGACGCGTTGCATCCGCGTGTTCCCTAATAAGCAGGGATATGTCCTTAGTTCTATTGAGGGACGAGTGGCTGTAGAGTACCTCGATAGTAACCCTGAGGTGCAGAAGAAGAAATATGCTTTTAAATGCCATAGAATTAAAGATGGAGGTGCGTATTGTCATCACCAGATTTGATTGTAATAAGAATGTGACAAAGTACATTTAGAGATGTGGAGAACGCTCGAGAGAACCTTCAGTAGCAGTAGAGACGAACTTTACATATTTTTGCTGCCAAGCAGTAATGTCAACATTACTGTGTTCAGGTTTTGAAGGGTAAGGGTGTTGGTGAAATTACAGGCACATGGGACTTGTCAACTTATGTCTCAGGGTGACGGGCGCAGTGGCAGTGCCCCTCAGATCTTTGTGATTTAAAGCTCTGAGTGGCACTGCAACTGTTATGGACAGGCGTGTAGCTTACCGTTAGGCCACAACTTTTACGTCCCGTCATTCTAGATATTATTAAAAATAAACCTTGTTCAGTTAGATGATGTCCTTAAAAAAAGGCCACATCAAAAGTAAACTAAGATAACATAAGATAAATGTGCAGATATGAAAAAATGGAAAACGTGAATGTAAATTACGCAAAAATTAAACAACAGATCTCTGTTACGCATACTCTTCTCTAATTCCATAACTAGTCAAAGTCGACTGAAGCTCTATGATTGTTCCAGGTCTCGAGAAGATCTATCCGGTAAACGCAATCAGCTTTCACTCCGTGTACAACACGTTCGCGACGGGTGGCTCGGACGGATACGTCAACATATGGGACGGATTCAACAAGAAACGCCTATGCCAGTTCCATAGGTAAATATTCAACAATAGCTAGATAAATATTGTGTCAAGCTCTAGTCTCCAAAAAACTGTTAATTTAAAGGAGTGTAAGGTATGAAAAACCTAGAAATTAGTTTTGTTCAATATCCTATACATATATGGTTCATTTCACATTGCACAATTCCAGTGACAATTGAGATTTGAAGTTTCTAGAGATGTAGTGAAGTAAAATCGAATGAAAAAAAAATCGATTTATGGAAATAATTTGTAACGAAGAGAGAATGGATTTACACAAAATAATTTACGAACAAATAATAAAAGGATTCAATTATTATGTTATTAAGATACTTACTAAAAAACTACACAACATAAAAAAAAAAATCAATACTCAGCCAAACAAAAAGCCAATAACAAAGCATAAAATCAACTGCAACGAAACAAAATTTGAACAATCATTCCAAAAACATCATGCAAAGCTAAAAACAAGAGAAAACGACCCCCATACAAAGTGTATGTACTCGTTTTGAATGACGCGAGATACACAAGCCCATTCGATTTATTGATTTTATGGTGTAAATCTCTATGGATAAAATATTCCGTTTTACGCATAATTTACGTTTCCGTTTTTTATGTGTGTCATTTTTCATGGCAAAATGACTATTTTAACCATTGACTTACAAATAAATGGACGACGGGTCTAATACAAAAACCACGAAAAAAATGTCCCAAGTCAACCTATTTAAACGTAGTGACATGTAAAGGAATATGAAAAAGCTAAAACGTTGAATTTAAATTGTAATGTCATCGCAGTACTGTCTAATTTTGCTTGCTTCGTTGTCAGTCGAACAAACGAAGACTGAAGCGTGAATGACGCTCTGTATACGATTTTAACGCCCTATAAGTTCGGACACTTTTTAGCGCGGTAAGTCAATGATTTTAACGAAAATTATATTTTCATAAATATAGGGAGACGCCAATGTAAGAACGTTAGTTTCTTAAAACTTATCTCACATAGACACTAGTTTCACTTTTTGTGAATTGCGCATTTCTAACTCCACCAGGTATAACACCGCGGTGTCGGCGTTGAGCTTCTCGCACGACGGCTCAGCGCTGGCCATCGCCTGCTCGCAGCTCGACGAGACGCAAATCGAGGACCCGAAGCCCGAAGACACTATCTACATTCGCTACGTCACCGACCAGGAGACTAAACCCAAATGATCTGGTACACATTGGCTTAATTGATAACTCGCCCAAGAACAGTTTGAATTGTTGCGAATTATGCGTGTAAGTTTCGATTATTGGAACACCAAATAACAAACGCTCTCATAAACCGCCTCATGTTTCCAGTGCTCCAAACAAATTTATAAAATATTCTTCCGCACGTGATGTACAATGGCACCCTGGCGCCCTCTAGTAGGCACGCGATCAAAATATAGTACTTACAGTAATATTTTCCCCGGTGACCGGAAATTCGGGTGCAAATGGTGAAATTATAAATGTTCCGAAGCAATATCTTATATAATAATATTCGCCGCACATCAAACACTATAGGTAAAGCCGGCACTACATTGATATGATCTCGGCTTCAGTGCCTCTACCATGAGACCACAGTGACAGTTATCCCTAGCGACCGCGTAAAATGTTTGTATACAAAGAGTTATTTCTTCAGGTGACCGCTAGGGGCGTTGTATAATTTGTCATATAAAATTGAGAAGTAATTTACGCGGTCGTTAGAGACAACTGTGCTAGTCTAAACATATATATTTCTGCTAAGCGGAAAACTCGACACTGGCGAAATCTTAAAAAGAAGGAACCATTGAGCAACACGAAGAAGAAGAAGAGACAACTGTCACAATCGCAGAACAATAAATACAGTAGAAGTGGCTAGTCCGACCGCTGACGCGTGCCAACTATAGGTCTCGAAAGACCTATCTGAGTTCAGTCCGCCATTTTCGCTTTGTATGGCATGGTTGTGACATACAAATGGTGTAAATTACTAAAATCCTAGAAAAATGCCTTATTGTGCTGTTTTGGAGTGCAAAAATTATAGCCGCACCAAAAATATTAGCCTCGAAAGTCTTATTTTAACAAATTTTCAATTTACCGAAATAATTCGTTACTAGAAACGAAAGTAAAGCTTATACCCCTGTAATATGGTCACTTCTTGTTCGGAGAACTAAACTAATAACTCCAATACATTGTCGTTGAGCAATTAAACGCTAGATGACAGCACATTGATTGAAATTTCAATATAATATCAAAACGTCGTGACTTGTAATAATAAGTATTGATGGTATTGCACTTACAACTATACGCCAACAGAGTGAAGTTTAAATTATATTAACAATCCAGAATTTGCTTTTTTTTTTTGAATTTGAAGCTACGACAAATCAATATCAAGATTTTGTAGTGTTTCAAATTTTCTGGTATTCGTATGGCTCAACTCACACTGGCGCAGACTCAAAGTCGAGCGGAGGCGTCAGACCAAACTGTGATCCGGGCGCGCTAATGCGAGTGTCGCAGCGCGACGACACGCGACACTTCAACCCTGCGCCAGTGTGAGTTGAGCCTAATTCATGAACTTGAAACAAGGGACGTATTTATGAATTTTCATTGCGAAACATTAAAAAATACATTACGCAACTAAAGATCTAAAACGAGGTTTTTTAATAGGTAAGTATTGTAATTATTTATAACACAATATTGTTCTTGGTAACCGCGATAATGAGCCAGTGTTTGTACCGAATCAATTAAGATCCTTATGAGATACGATTATTTTAAGTTTTACTTAAGCAAGTGACTTGAACTCAATAAACTTATTAAGTTTAATATTTAGTTCATTTTATTTTTCTATCGTTTTCTCCAAGTGCAGTTTTACTTCAACAGCGAATAGAAAGTTGAGATATTACTGTCAAATAAGTAATACTTGACCCAATCAAACGATAATGTCAATTTTATTTTATTTATTGAGGAATGACAAGCAATTGTACATGGTGAGTTATACAGAATAAGAATATCGGTTTGGCTAATTGTACAATCAACCACATCATCCACAGATTAATACAAAAATATAAAATTTTCAAATGAAGTATAATCGCTAGTGTTTTTTTTAAAGTACAATGCTGATACAGAAAATAAGCTTAAGAAACTAACAAACTTAATAACGTTACTAAGTACAATTAACAAAAAAGAAAAGAAAAAACAGTTTCACAACCTACTACAGTGTCATACCCAATGCTTCAGTAACCGCCCTCTTAAATTTGTATTTAGACAGATCAAAAATGTCTGCTTCTGCTAATGCTCATTATAATTTTGAAATAGTCGCCTTAGAGAAGCGCGTGTACCAGAATTTGCCCTGCAGGACGTAAGTGCAAATAGTCCATAACGACGAGAGCTGAGCATATGCATAGTCAAGTATGAAGTGTTATTCGCATCATGCGTCCTTTAAATTTGGTCCAGTATGTCTTATTTGACAGTAATTGTTTTGGGACGGATGTCAGACGGAGACCCCCAGGGCATTCGCATCCGGATAATCGGCATAAAATAAAATACCCGCATCCGCATCACGGGGTCTACTCCCGGTCTCCGTCCGACATCCGTCCAAAACAATTACTGCCAAATAAGCAATATTTGACTAAATGAAAAGACGCGTGTCGCGAATGAAGTTTCATACTGGATACTTGTCTTTTAATTTTGTCGAATATTACTTATTTGACAGTAATTGTTTCGGACGGATGTCGGACGGATTCATCGATGCTGATATTCATTACGGATGTTCGAGTCATGACATGGCTTAAAAGTCTGGAACAGAAGCCGAACTAAGCCTAAAAAGCAGAAGAAGAAGAAGAACTAAGCCTAAAAAGCAATTCAGCTGTTGTTTTTAAAATATAACCTGGATGAAATTCCACAACGATTACGCTATTGATTCTTTAGTTAATAACGGTCACAAAATTATTGAAATAATATTTTTATCTACACACTTATCATAAACCCTCTACGGTGTGTTCAAAAACGGCAAATTACAACCAGCTTAGAGATAAACTGTTTTTTAGAACAAATTTCTTATCTATGAAAATGTTATTATTGCTTCCGGATTCGCTCTGGACCTTTTGGAGGGAAAAGTGTCGTTTTTATTTTGACTTTCAATTATTTTGTAAAATCCAGTTTAAAGTGGAATAGTATAGCGCTATTGTGCCTTAATTGAAGATTAAAACGCGAAATTATACGAATCTCGAACTAGAATACCCGTATCGGCCTGTTTTAAGGAATCCCGAGTCACTCCAAGCACGCCGCCTCAAACTGCCTATTCTCTTTGGGGCGGCCATAGTTACAGAAACATAATTAAACTTCATGTTTAGGCTGATGGCTTTGCCAAAGCCTTAATAAATTACAAAAAAAAATTATTGCTTCCATTTTTTTTCCATCCTCTAAGATATCGAACGACATGACACTTGGGACCTTAGAGGATTTGGGACCGACTCTAGTTTGTCTATGAATTTAAAAAACTAAGGTAGTGTGAGAAAAGCTTTTATTTGCCGCCATTTAGTACACATCAAATAGCTTATATGATATGTGTATAAATAAAGCAATGTATGTAACTGTACAAAATTAGGCATTAAAACACTCGTATTCTAATGCCTTTCACTATGCAACAGTCACATAAAGTACTATATTACAATACCGAAGAAAATACTAAGCTTTTTCATGTAGATAGATTCAGTACCTAAGGATGTACTTTTTCGCGTTTTTTTTAGCACATAAAATTAGCATCCGCGTCAGTATCCGCTGATGTTAAGGTCACCCTGAGACATAAGTTGTCAAGTCCAACGTGCCTGTAATTTTACCAGCACCCTTTACGCAGTAATTCCAGTGGCAGTATTTCCCTGGACGAACTTTTTCACAAGAGCTCTACTGCTATTAGATTAGCTACATATTTATAAAAAAACCTTAAAACAAGGTATAAATATTAAAATTAATATGTACAGTAAATTTCCAGTTCGTGTATCTACGAGTATCTTGGAAATAGCTGTATTCAAGCAAAACTAAAACTTTGAAACTCTCGCTTTTTATAAATATAAACGAATAATGTACAAGTGTTTTTTTTTAAATGGGACACAGTATTGGGAAATTCGAAACCATAGAAGATACAAGGAAATTGATTTAGGAACAATTAAGTATTTTTGTGTGAAAACAGTTTTGGCATAGTCAGTTATTGGTCAAGCGTAAGTTGTCCATAAAAATGAATAAAATTGATCGAAATTTCTTTTAGTGCTGATCGACTGAGTTTTATCTAAGGATCATTTCATAGTATGGAACAAAAATTCGGGACAGCAGAAGTTCGTCAAATTGAATTATATGTTTTTCATGTAGATAAAATTAATAAAAAACGACATCACATAGGTACGTCGCTCTGATCTTAAAGTAAGTAACTAAAGTACTTGTGTTATGGAAATCGACAACAACAATGGTACCACAAAACCCAGACCCGAGACAATATAGAAAAGTTAGTTTTCTACACTGACCTGGCCGGAAATCGAACCTCAGAATTTGCGACACCATGAAAACCGGCGCGCAAGCCACTCGACCGCGGCGGTCGTCGTATGAATATTACACTCCTTGCAAAATCATGATGATGAACACTCTATATGTATACGTACACATACCTGTACAATTTAATTTCGTATATCCTGTTATTCGACTTACCTATAGGTAATTTACTGTGTTGTCTTGGTAAATACATAATTTGAATTTTTGCCTGCATAGATTGAACATTCTGTAAACTCTATGTGCTCGCAATCGTCAGGCTTTTACTTGATCGATTTATTATTCGACGCAAATATTACAAATTTTATTGATAACCGACTTTGTCACGAATTTTAAGTTAATTCGATGTACGCGGTCGACAGTCTGCCTTTGCAATAGAACGGTCGGTCGCAGCCCTGTTTATGTAACACCTTACTAATGGGCGCATTTTACCACTCAAGTAGCCATCCACTGGCATCTGGTTGGTCAGGTTTTTGACATTTAATTTATTCGATTAATGCATGAAAACAAATTAAGAGTCTCATTCTAATATTTTACGATCTTCTTCCTGCCCTTATCCCGCGCTAGGTAGGTCGGCACAACATGTTTTTTTGTTTCACTCTCCTCTGTCATCCGCTATTTCCATACTCACACCTTTCTTATCCATGTCATCTTTGATTCAATCTATCCAACATCTAATATGTTATGATCATTATAGAATAAATAAAGATTGATTTGTATAGTTTCAATTGTACGGTAATCAATTAGCAGACATCGGAAAAGATTTATGTCCGGTCTTTTTACCTAAATGTCCAGCTAAACTGGCTGGTCTATCCGGCCGTTTAGTTTTCACACCTAGCAACACTAGTCTCACTTGATATTAAGTGAATATAAGGCCGATTATTCACGTTTGTATAGTAAACGCTTACCTAATCTTCTATCGGGCACTCGCCGACTTTGGATAGACTTTTTAAGGAAGTGTGAATTGCTAGAATCGGAATCTTACCCTACTTTCTACAATGAAATGTTGACCATCGATTGTCTGCCGTCTGCGAGCACCGTAAAGATGACTCAGATCCAGCGGTGAGACGTAAATGGAATGATACGAAACAGAGCAGTTCGGATTAGCATTAATTATCACCAGAAGTCGGGTTAGCCATAATATATTTACAAAAATTTCAAGTGAAATTCACAGAGTGGACGTGAACGTCCTTTTTTATTATATTAAGTGGCGAGACGAACAAGTCGTTGATGTCTGACTGACGTCTGATGGTAAGCTACACGCCTGTCCATAAAAGTTGCAGTGCCACTCAGAGCTTTAAATCGCAAAGATCTGAGGCGCACTTGACTAGTCCCATGTGCCTGTAATTTTACCAGCACAGTTACCCCTCAAAACCGGAACACAATAATGCTGGCAAATGGTCCAACGGTCTGGTTTTCACAACTCGACGTCGTAATGTCTATTTTGCATGTAAAAAAATTATTACATTTTTCTTAAAAACACAATTCTTATAACAGCAACAACAATAACGTCACATAGTATGTTGCTCTGATCCCAAAGTAACAGCATTTGTGTTATGGAAATCGGAAACAACGACCATAAACACCCAGACTCGAGACAATGTAGAAAAGTAAGTTTTCTACATTGACCCGGCCGGGATGGCACCCAGGGTATGGCACCATGAAAAATGCAAACCACTCGACACTGTGGTCGTAAAAAAAGTGATTACTAGTTACATATAAAAATGTATACTCCGTCATCTCATGGTGGGTTTTATTCACTTTATGTGGATTGCAGCAACGAAATATTGGTAAATATACTCTCCTCTTTCCGATTTCTGATTATCACCGATCCACATCTTGCTTTCTCGCACATCCTTAAAAACGCCTTACAATACTTTTA